AACTGAACTAGAACGGAACTAGAACTGAACTAGAACTGAACAAGAACTGAACTAGAACTGAACTAGAACTGAACTAGAACTGAACTAGAACTGAACTAGAACTGAACTAGAACTGAACTAGAACTGAACTAGAACTGAACTAGAACTGAACTAGAACTGAACTAGAACTGAACTAGAACTGAACTAGAACTGAACTAGAACTGAACTAGAACTGAACAAGAACTGAACTAGAACTGAACTAGAAACTGAACTAGAACTGAACTAGAACTGAACTAGAACTGAACTAGAAGTGAACTAGAACTGAACTAGAACTGAACTAAAACTGAACTTAAACTTAACTAGAACTGAACTAGAACTGAACTAAAACTTAACTAGAACTGAACTAGAACTGAACACTGGTTATTACGTCCAATTTGGCAAAGGACATATTTATTCGGTGTTTTATACAAGTTGATTTCTCGTTAACAACGTTTAAAAATTCCCTTTCTCCACAAAATTTCCAGCATTTTAATTATTTTGTCAATTAAAAAATGGAAGGATTTATTTAGGGCTCCACAAAATTGCTGTAAATAAATTCATCTATTGTCTGCTTTTAGGTTAAGACTCTTCTTATACCAACAACAAAATAAAATAAAAAATGTTTTTAACAATTTTCATTTCAAGAGTTAAACCAGAATACAAAAACAACAATATACAATAAAAACCGCAAGTCTAAAATTAAAATTAAATCAAAAACTACAACAATTTCAATTTATTAGGAATGTGGAGAGAAGCAAATACTTTTTTTTTTTGTTATTTTTTGAGGTTTAAAACGATGTAAAACTTGTATACAACATATTCACATTAATGAAAGAATTTGAATTTTGAAAATCAAATTAAGCAGACATTCATTCATAGATACAAACTCATAGAACAAAAACCGAAATAGCGAAGTAAAAATCTTAGAAAAAGGTTGCTAAAATAATTAACCTTGGGTTGGCTGAGAACAAATTGCTATTTATTGTTTGTAGTTTAATTTTTTTTTTCTTTTTTTTGTTAAAACATTTTACAGATTTAATCAAACATACGTCATATTTTAATGGTTTCCAAATGAAATGCTACTGCATTTTTACTGATTGCCAACATCAGATTTAGTTTCAAATTCATGGAATTTTAATTTTAATAATGTTTGTTTTTTGTTTCATCTGTTGTTTGTTTTCACGAGAATTTAATTAAAATTAAATCTGAAATAATAATCATAAATATTTTAAAATCTCTAACAACAACAAAAACTACAATATTTTTTATGAAATAATAATCATAAATATTTTAAAATCTCTAACAACAACAAAAACTACAATATTTTTTATGACTACGATTATTAGATCTGTTTAAATCTAACGCAATAAAATGTTTTAAAAAAATTCGTCTCAAACGCCAAATGTCTAGAGGTGTAGAGTTTTAAAATGAGCAAGTGATTCACCGCCCTACAGACGTGTATGCGAAATGATTGACATGTCACAAGACAGACAGGTTCTAACAGAGCAAAACAGACATTAACAAATATTGTGGCTCATAATTCCAACAATCCAACATGTTCCTTAAAACCATTAAAAACGTAGATTTGTTGAAACGAAATTGTTTCATAATTTGTTTATCACCATCATAAAAAGAGTCATCGCCATCAGCAGCAACTGAACAATTTTGTTTTTTGTTTGTCCAAAGTGGCTTCTTTTCTTTCGAAGAGAACTTAAAAATTTCAAAAAAGAAAGAAATAATAAAAACCCACAAGCCACACCTCTTGACGTTTAGAAGAAGATTAAGAAAAACTTGCTGTGGCAAATCACTGTTTGACTAACATGTTGGCATGTTCAAGGTCAAAAGGTGATCTAAAATTATAGATAACTTTGGTTTTAAAACAACAACAACAAAATGTGAAATAAATGAAACCCCTACAAATGTTGATTTAAGTGGCGTCTTTCACTCGATACGATTTAAAATTTGTCCAATGGAGGGGAAAGCAGGGCACATAGGGTAGAGTTAGCAGAAATAAAACTGGAATTGTCTAAACTGGGATTGAATTAGAACTGAACTAGAACTGAACTAGAACTGAACTAGAACTGAACTAGAACTGAACTAGAACTGAACTAGAACTGAACTAGAACTGAACTAGAACTGAACTAGAACTGAACTAGAACTGAACTAGAACTGAACTAGAACTGAACTAGAACTGAACTAGAACTGAACTAGAACTGAACTAGAACTGAACTAGTAGCTTTTAATATCAAAATTTCCTAAATTGTAATAATTACTTTTAAAAATGAAATTAACCTTAAAATTACATTGTTAATTTAATTAAAATTTAATATTAAAACCGCATACTCTTGCTGCTACAGATGTACGAATATATTTTGCTAAATGAATGTAAAGGTTTATAACAGTTTTTTATTTTATTTATTCGAAACTTACATTAGTTTATTTTCGGATTTCTTATAACTTTAATGTGGATACATTAAATGAGAAAAAAATCCTACGCTAAAATGCGTACGTGTCATTTTCACACACGTTTAAAAATGTTGTACGAGTATCGCGTATCAGTTGAAGTTCATCATTTTAAGTTTGTACGAGACCGTAACAAATTTGATTTCATGTATATATCAAAAAAAAAAAAAAAAAACTTATTTGCTTTTGAAAAAAATTACAAACTTAAACGGCAATAACGAATTAAAAAAATCTTTATTTAATATCATAAACATCTTCATTTAATATCATACAAATATGAAGAGGAACTTTATATACCCTGCTTCAAGTATAGAGTGCCTCTAATTTTAAGTATTTTTTTCAACTGTGCGCCATAGTCTGTAATTTTATTAGTTTATGAAGCGTGAAACTATGTTGTATTAAAAAACACAAATTCTACTTAATTCTGTTAACCAAAAAAAGTTATTTATTTGGTTTAAACAAAATTCAACGAACTAATAGAATTTTCAAAAAATTTCATTCATTCAATGCAGGTGGCATCATATGATGTCTAATCATTAGAACTTATTAACCCATTGTGGGTGGTCTACAATGTACTAGTTTTGAAGATGTGTTTGTAAGCAAAAGTGACCAAACTAGAAAAGCTGTATATCAAAATAAATTACCAAGTAAACGCCGGTACCACAGCTGTAAACATGGGTTAATCAAATGTATTGTCTTTATTATCTCATTTTTTGTTTGTTTTGCTCTAGTAATCTATATTATAAAGAAATTCTATATAAATCATTGAATTAATACGGGGTTATTCGAACAATTGCAGTCTCTTACTGCCACCGACAATCGGACAGCGATTGTTTCATTTTATTTTTCCAATTAAATTTAATTAAACGATGAGAACCAAAGAAAAACTTATGCACAAAAAATTAAACTGATACTCATAAATATTTAGGAAAGAGAGATATAGATGACGATCAACACTGATTGCAAAATACCCTAAAACTCTATTTCAGTTCTAGTTCAGTTCTAGTTCAGTTCTAGTTCAGTTCTAGTTCAGTTCTAGTTCAGTTCTAGTTCAGTTCTAGTTCAGTTCTAGTTCAGTTCTAGTTCAGTTCTAGTTCAGTTCTAGTTCAGTTCTAGTTCAGTTCTAGTTCAGTTCTAGTTCAGTTCTAGTTCAGTTCTAGTTCAGTTCTAGTTCAGTTCTAGTTCAGTTCTAGTTCAGTTCTAGTTCAGTTCTAGTTCAGTTCTAGTTCAGTTCTAGTTCAGTTCTAGTTCAGTTCTAGTTATAGTTAAGTTATAGTTAAGTTCTATTTGAGTTCTAGTTCTAGTTCAGTTCTAGTTCAGTTTTAGTTCAGTTCTAGTTCAGTTCTAGTTCAGTTTTAGTTCAGTTCTAGTTCAGATCTAGTTCAGATCTAGTTCAGTTCTAGTTCAGTTCTAGTTTAGTTCTAGTTCAGTTTCTTACTCCACGCTGCGTCACTAAATGAATAACCAACCAAATATACCCTTTTAATTTGTTGATCAAATAAATGAGATTCAATTCCCTAAAGCCGCACTCTTATCATTCTCAACAATTCAACTAAGTCCACACTCATTTTTTGTCTTTGATTCTTAGTTTTATTTTAAGAAGCACATATTAATTAGTCACTGAGTAAAAACATTCATGATACAACGGAATACAATGAGTTTTCATTGTCAAAAGAGAGAGATTAAAATTTAAAATAGAAATTAAAACTGAAAACTGAAAACTGAAAACAGAGATTACATCTAATGGAAAAATGCAAGTGAACGCTTAAGACGACAGACAGTATATTTCCGACAATTAACGGTGGAACATGAATTTCAAATTTTCAACAACAATTTTTATAATTTTAATAGCGATCGGTCTAGAAGTAAGTTGGAATAAAGAAATCAACAAATATTTATAAAAATTAATTGCGTTTTAATATTGTTTAAACAAACAGGTCATCTCGGCTCAATCTACACAATACTCCGCTTACATAAATAATAAAGAAGATGAACGTAAAATTATTGGACAATTCTACAATTATGTGGATATTATAATGAACATTAAACTGGACAATATGTTGAAGATGACCCAAGAATTTACAGATACTTTATTGGATTCTATACCACTAGGGGAGCGAGGCAATACGGCTGAAATGTTGTATCAGTATAGAATGAATTCGCAGAGACTCAGAGAGCAGGGAGGCAGTATAGAAGACAAAGAGAACTTATTAATGGAATTGCAACAGTTGATTGCGACCATTAAATCCGGTTTGGCCAAACAGGAAAGGGAAGATATTATTTTAAGACGTGGCCTGTTGGGCATGTTCGAATTGTTGGCTCGTCTCTCCATAGAGGAAAGAAAATGCAATAATAGATTTGCTAAAGCGGCCACTGTATTACGTCAACGTTTCACTGAAGAGGGCATACAACGTCATAGAGAACTTTTCGATTTGTTGCAAGAACTCAATGATGAACATAACATTGTACAAAGGGAAAAATTATTTGCCCGCTTTAAAGAACTAAAAGCTAATGAAATATAAAGTAGTTTTAAATATTTAACAACAATTTATTAATAAAATATTTACTCTAAATATAAAAAAAAAACGAACAAAACTATGTTTGCATGTATAAATCCATAAAAGTGATTTGTTTCTTATTTTTAACTATTTGAACTAAATCAGCCAATAAGGCCAGTTTTTGATGGATCTCGGTGGCTCGTGAAATATCATCAAAAGCCTCATTGAAATATTGATATTTAATATAATCATCTTCTTCGTTTACATAAAGATTAAATTCCTGATGCATTTGTTCGGAGGCCTTATCCAACCAAATGATCAATTCTTCTCTTTTATTAAGATACTCTTTAATCCAGTTCTGCGGCAAATGTCTTTGCAGATAGCGGCTGGGTTTACTTTTAAGAAAGTTCAGTTTAAGTATAATTTCTTCATAAAGTTCATCTTGAGTTAAAATTTTTGAATCCTCTATAATTTCATCACTGTACTCGCTGTCGGTATCGGGGTTTAGTATACGATTTAAACCTTCTGCATAACGTTTTAAATGATCTCTTTGGAATACCATATTAACCGAAGCCTGTAAAACTTTCGCTATAAATTCTTGTGTCTCGATTAGCAGATTATCTAATATGAAATTCATTTGTTTAAGAGCATAATCCTCTAGAGTAGTTAATGATTTGGGTTTCAGTTCATTTACAACTGTGGTTGTGGCGTCTTCTATTAGAGATTCTGTAGAGTTTTCAGAGTTATCTAAAATATCTTCTTGCTTACTTGTTGTTATAGATTCTGTAGATTTTTCCGAATTATCTTTAATTTCTTCTTGGTTATTGGTAAGAGGTTTCAAAATCTTTATAATATTGGGAAGTTCCTCGTTTACAGTTTTAGAAACTATTTCCTCGTTGTTCGTTTCGGTTTTATTAGAAATATTATATACTACTTCATTAACACTTTCCAAATTATTGGAATTTTCAGAAACTATTTCTTGTTCAGAATATACTTCATTATCGGAAAAGCTTATTTTAGTTACTGCTTCATTTCCACTTTCCAAACCAGAAACAGTTTCCTGTTCAGAATGTACTTTAGATTCTAAAGGACTTTTAACGGTTATCTCTGTTTCCTCGTTATCCAACTTATTAAAATCTTCAGAAATTTTTTCTTGATCAGAATATACTTCATTATCGGAAATGCTTATTTTAGTTACTGCTTCATTTCCATTTTCCAACTGAGAAACTGATTCTTCATTTTCTGAAGGATTAATTTCAGTTTCCACTGCTTTTTCATTTTTCAACTTGTTAGAATCTTCAGAAACTATTTCATGTTTAACATGGACTTCATTATCGGAAAGGCTTATAGTGGTAGCAGTCTCACCAGTAATTTCTTTAACATCTGTCGTAACTTTCGAAGTCGTTTCCAATATCACATTTATTACAGAATGTTCGGTGGTAATGTATTGTACAGTATCCAGTCCTCCTGCTATTATTGTAGTATTCTCTCTGCTAATTTTTGTAGTAATTTCACTATTTTGCAAAGTTTCCTCATCTTGAGCCAAATTCTGTTGAAATAATATTTTTCTTTTAATTCAATAACACTTTTTTGCTTAATTTCACAAACTTACTTTTGTTATTAGTAATAGAACTATTAAAATTTGCGGAACTGTTTTCATTTTTTAAAGTTATTTATTATTATATTTTTATTATTATAAAATTTTTCTTAAATATTTTGTTTACACACAAACGTTGAATTCAAAAGTTTGAAACGAAATAATTCATAACAAAATTTGTATAATTTCATGGCTTCTCCCGGTCATTTCTTATCAGTAAATTTTAGTTTCTTTTTATGTTTTTTTTTAATAGTGTTTATTTTATATATATGTATACTTGACTTGATAATGACACAGAAGGATTGATGCTTAATACTAATACCAGATACGCGTGAACGTTTACGTAGTTTCAAATTGATTTTAATCTAGATTTTACGTTGGCGATGTAAATTCCAGATTAATTAGGAAAAACTGTTGAAGGCTTTATTAATAATAATGTAATATTTATTGATAATCGTATGATGATTTAGATTTCATTACAAATTCGTAAGGTTTCAAAATTGTATTAGATGCAAGCAATTACGTTTGCCTTTTATTCATAAAAATTAAAAAAATCATCGAAGAATTTGTCAATATCTATATCATCAAAACCTGTCAAGAACTGAATTAGAACTGAACTAGACTGAACTAGAACTGAACTACCTGAACTACTGAACTAGAACTGACTAGACTGAACTAGAACTGAACTAGAACTGAACTAGAACTGACTAGAACTGAACTAGAACTGAACTAGAACTGAACTAGACTGAACTAGAACTGAACTAGAACTGAACTAGAACTGAACTACTAGAACTGAACTAGAACTGAACTAGAACTGAACTAGAACTGAACTAGAACTGAACTAGAACTGAACTAGAACTGAACTAGAACTGAACTAGAACTGAACTAGAACTGAACTAAAACTGAACTAGAACTGAACTAGAACTGAACTAGAACTGAACTAGAACTGAACTAGAACTGAACTAGAACTGAACTAGAACTGAACTAGAACTGAACTAGAACTGAACTAGAACTGAACTAGAACTGAACTAGAACTGAACTAGAACTGAACTAGAACTGAACTAGAACTGAACTAGAACTGAACTAGAACTGAACTAGAACTGAACTAGAACTGAACTAGAACTGAACTAGAACTGAACTAGAACTGAACTAGAACTGAACTAGAACTGAACTAGAACTGAACTAGAACTGAACTAGAACTGAACTAGAACTGAACTAGAACTAGAACTAGAACTGAAGAGAACTAGAACTGAACTAGAACTGAACTAGAACTGAACTAGAACTAGAACTAGAACTGAACTAGAACTGAACTAGAACTGAACTAGAACTGAACTAGAACTGAACTAGAACTGAACTAGAACTGAACTAGAACTGAACTAGAACTGAACTAGAACTGAACTAGAACTGAACTAGAACTGAACTAGAACTGAACTAGAACTGAACTAGAACTGAACTAGAACTGAACTAGAACTGAACTAGAACTGAACTAGAACTGAACTAGAACTGAACTAGAACTGAACTAGAACTGAACTAGAACTGAACTAGAACTAGAACTAGAACTGAACTAGAACTGAACTAGAACTGAACTAGAACTGAACTAGAACTGAACTAGAACTGAACTAGAACTAGAACTGAACTAGAACTGAACTAGAACTGAACTAGAACTGAACTAGAACTGAACTAGAACTGAACTAGAACTGAACTAGAACTGAACTAGAACTGAACTAGAACTGAACTAGAACTGAACTAGAACTGAACTAGAACTGAACTAGAACTGAACTAGAACTGAACTAGAACTGAACTAGAACTGAACTAGAACTGAACTAGAACTGAACGAACTGAACTAGAACTGAACTAGAACTGAACTAGAACTGAACGAACTAGAACTGAACTAGAACTGAACTAGAACTAGAACTGAACTAGAACTGAACTAGAACTGAACTAGAACTGAACTAGAACTGAACTGAACTAGAACTGAACTAGAACTGAACTAGAACTGAACTAGAACTGAAATAGAACTGAACTAGAACTGAACTAGAACTGAACTAGAACTGAACTAGAACTGAACTAGAACTGAACTAGAACTGAACTAGAACTGAACTAGAACTGAACTAGAACTGAACTAGAACTGAACTAGAACTGAACTAGAACTGAACTAGAACTGAACTAGAACTGAACTAGAACTGAACTAGAACTGAACTAGAACTGAACTAGAACTGAACTAGAACTGAACTAGAACTGAACTAGAACTGAACTAGAACTGAACTAGAACTGAACTAGAACTGAACTAGAACTGAACTAGAACTAGAACTGAACTAGAACTGAACTAGAACTGAACTAGAACTGAAATAGAACTGAAATAGAACTGAACTAGAACTGAACTAGAACTGAACTAGAACTGAACTAGAACTGAACTAGAACTGAATAGAACTGAACTAGAACTGAACTAGAACTGAACTATAACTGAACTATAACTGAACTAGAACTGAACTAGAACTGAAATAGAACTGAACTAGAACTGAAATAGAACTGAACTAGAACTGAACTAGAACTGAACTAGAAACTGAACTAGAACTGAACTAGAACTGAACTAGAACTGAACTAGAACTGAACTAGAAACTGAACTAGAACTGAACTAGAACTGAACTAGAACTGAACTAGAACTGAACTAGAACTGAACTAGAACTGAACTAGAACTGAACTAGAACTGAACTAGAACTGAACTAGAACTGAACTAGAACTGAACTAGAACTGAACTAGAACTGAACTAGAACTGAAACTAGAACTGAACTAGAACTGAACTGGAACTGAACTAGAACTAAAACTGAACTAGAACTGAGCTTTTTTGGAGAATGACACTTTTATTGCACATCTTTTTGCAGTAAATTAATCTTAACAATTTAATCTTCTTATATTATCATTGCAGGCTTCATTGTTTACCTGATGGTCGGGCGACTTGTCGTTCAGTGCCCGGTTTAACCAAAGATCAATTGGAATTGTGTTATAAAGCCAGTGATGTAACCACGGCTGCCTTAGAAGGATTAGATCTGGCCATAAGAGAATGTCAAATACAGGTAAATAATAAAAACAAACGAAATAATTCGATTAATTAAAAAATGTAAAAATATTTATTTCCTTTACAGTTTCAATGGCATAGATGGAACTGTTCATCGTTAAATACAAAAAGTCGTAATCCTCATGCCTCTAATCTCTTGAAAAAAGGTAAGTTTTGCATTATATTTACTTTGAAAAAATTTCATTTTAAAGCGGTAGCTACAACTTCCACTCAAAATATCGCTTTAATAGTAAATATTATTACATTATTATGACACCAACTAAAACAAATATCTGTGAGAAATGTCACCTAGAGCCGCTTAACAGCCATTTGAGACATTTAGCGTGATGTGTTTTTTACTAGAAATCTATTTGATAATTTTTATATATTTTTGTAAGTTTATGGAAAAATTATATTTAATTTTGCTGGCCGGACAGACAGACATACTCCTTGTTGTCTTAAAGGTTTAACATGGAAACATACAGCCACATTGTACTCACATTTATGTCAAGACATGTATGTTAGTGTGTGCTGAAAAGCGTGAGTAAAAAACCACAACACATTGTCAACATTATTGTGGTTTAAATTTAAGCATCAGGAAATTTAATTTTATTTAATATTTTTTGTTAGTGTGTTACTTGAAAAATGTACAGTAAGCAATAGAAGTTTTTGGCAATGAAATTGCAAATAATAAAACTGAACTAGAACTGAACTAGAACTGAACTAGAACTGAGAACTAGAACTGAACTAGAACTGAACTAGAACTGAACTAGAACTGAACTAGAACTGAACTAGAACTGAACTAGAACTGAACTAGAACTGAACTAGAACTGAACTAGAACTGAACTAGAACTGAACTAGAACTGAACTCAGAACTGAAACTAGAACTGAACTAGAACTGAACTAGAACTGAACTAGAACTGAACTAGAACTGAACTAGAACTGAACTAGAAACTGAACTAGAACTGAACTAGAACTGAACTAGAACTGAACTAGAACTGAACTAGAACTGAACTAGAACTGAACTAGAAACTGAACTAGAACTGAACTAGAACTGAACTAGAACTGAACTAGAACTGAACTAGAACTGAACTAGAACTGAACTAGAAACTGAACTAGAACTGAACTAGAACTGAACTAGAACTGAACTAGAACTGAACTAGAACTGAACTAGAACTGAACTAGAACTGAACTAGAACTGAACTAGAAACTGAACTAGAACTGACACTAGAACTGACTAGATGACTAGAACTGAACTAGAACTGAACTAGAACTGAACTAGAACTGAACTAGAACTGAACTAGAACTGAACTAGAAACTGAACTAGAACTGAACTAGAACTGAACTAGAACTGAACTAGAACTGAAACTAGAACTGAACTACTGACCTAGAACTGAACTAGAACTGACTACTGACTGAACTGAACTAGAACTGACAGATTTTTTTTATATCTGACTAGAACTATATACTGAACTAGAACTGAACTAGAAATCTAGATCTAGGGTTTAAAATTTTATCTTCATATTGACTAAAATTGACTGTTCGTTAAATTTTACGAAAGACTGTTTAAATAAAATATATTTTAATACCTATACTATGCGATTTAACTCTATGTACTGAATCTGTGTGTGCCAACTCACTCTTATACAGATACACACTTCAAACAAAATTGTTGTCGTCTTCGACGTTATCGTAACATGAACTCGTGCATACAAAAGTGTCTAATAAATTTGCTGTTAGACTTAGAGGACCCACACACAAACAGTCACAGTCGCACACACACTAACGTAAAACATTAGAGACATAATAATGTGACCACTACCTAACCATCTATCCTTCCATGTTTAGAAATATGTATGTATGTTTGAATGTATGAGAAAAAAAATATAAACTGCAAAAAACATTAAGTTATTAAGTCGTATTATTAGACATGCAAAAGTCAAAAAGCAAACAATATATGTAGTACATACAAGTAACTTAATAGACTCAGAGAAAAATCTAAGAAAATGTTTGGTGTTCGCTTGAAAAGATCGTCCAGTTTCGGTGATTTAGGTAGAAACCCGTTCTGTTGGAAATATAAAACTTCACGATCGGCATAGTATACTTATTCATGACCAAAATTTGGACTAGAATGATCGGGATATCCAAAATTAATTTACATATATGATCGCCACAGACAATGTATATGGATTTTTTTAACTCAATATATAAGAGAGTCAACGATCATGACTGATCATTTTCAGGAGAGTACAAATCATTGGAATTGTTCGGAAATAATTGCAATGGAAGTTTACTATCTAAGTGGCAATCTAATTGCCAATAATATCGCTAAATTGACCTATTTTACTAACATTTTAATTAAGCTGTATTTCCAAATGTAAGCGTACATATGTATGTGTACATAAAGTATCTATGCTGTACTTTTTTAACTCGTACAAGTAGATTGTATTACACAATCTTAGCAAAAATAACCACAACTAAGATGAATGAAAACACATTCGTAGTACAGCGAATATGTAGCAACTACAAGCTGATGACAATGAGCCAAGACCGGGAAGTAAGGGAGTAAAAGACGAAAAGAAGTAAAATAAATAAAAGGAAGCAGTGAACCCTAACGTGTGTGATCGTTTGCCGTTTACTGCTTTAGTATATTAGATTTTTTATTTGAATTTTATTATTATTTTAACATTAACAGCGTCTCTAATGTCTATTCTAATACTGGTGGGCTACTGCTTTCAGTTAGACCTACGTTAGTTAGATGGATGGATGAATATCCATGACAAACTCTTGTATACTTAGTTCATCTACATCTAAGCTCGCAGTCTTATACAAGTAGGTAGTATGTGTACAAGCATAAGATGGACCCGTTGACTTGAGTTGAGTTGACCACATATCATGTTACTTTTGACGCATTACTACTATTTTGTGTGTGTTACTGGCAATATTTTCCTACTTAGTTAACGTTAGTTTGTGTCTCAGTGTGCTTTAGTTTTTCTAAGGCGGTTTGTGTTTTAAGCTATTTAGTTATTTAATTCGCAAAATCTTTGATCATCTTAATTTTACCGCAGGCCAGCTGAGAGTATTAATATTTTATTTGTTTAACATACTATTATGTGTATTTGGATGTTCTTTTCTAGAAAAGATTCATAAGCATACAGTTTCCAAAAGAGACAGTGTGGATCTTAAGTGATCGTTCTAATAAAAATTAAATGTGAAACTGAAAAAATCTTTAAATGTTATGTATCACTTAAGTCTTATTTTGATTTTTTGATCAGTTCTAGTTCTGTTCTAGTTCTGCTCTAGTTCTGTTCTAGTTCTGTTCTAGTTCTGTTCTAGTTCTGTTCTAGTTCTGTTCTAGTTCTGTTCTAGTTCTGTTCTAGTTCTGTTCTAGTTCTGTTCTAGTTCTGTTCTAGTTCTGTTCTAGTTCTGTTCTAGTTCTGTTCTAGTTCTGTTCTAGTTCTGTTCTAGTTCTGTTCTAGTTCTGTTCTAGTTCTGTTCTAGTTCTGTTCTAGTTCTGTTCTAGTTCTGTTCTAGTTCTGTTCTAGTTCTGTTCTAGTTCTGTTCTAGTTCTGTTCTAGTTCTGTTCTAGTTCTGTTCTAGTTCTGTTCTAGTTCTGTTCTAGTTCTGTTCTAGTTCTGTTCTAGTTCTGTTCTAGTTCTGTTCTAGTTCTGTTCTAGTTCTGTTCTAGTTCTAGTTCTGTTCTAGTTCTGTTCTAGTTCTGTTCTAGTTCTGTTCTAGTTCTGTTCTAGTTCTGTTCTAGTTCTGTTCTAGTTCGATTCTAGTTCGGTTCTAGTTCTGTTCTAGTTCTGTTCTAGTTCTGTTCTAGTTCTGTTCTAGTTCTGTTCTAGTTCCGTTCTAGTTCTGTTCTAGTTCTGTTCTAGTTCTGTTCTAGTTCTGTTCTAGTTCTGTTCTAGTTCTGCTCTAGTTCTGTTCTAGCTCTGTTCTAGTTCTGTTCTAGTTCTGTTCTAGTTCTGTTCTAGTTCTGTTCTAGTTCTGTTCTAGTTCTGTTCTAGTTCTGTTCTAGTTCTGTTCTAGTTCTGTTCTAGTTCTGTTCTAGTTCTGTTCTAGTTCTGTTCTAGTTCTGTTCTAGTTCTGTTCTAGTTCTGTTCTAGTTCTGTTCTAGTTCTGTTCTAGTTCTGTTCTAGTTCTCTTCTAGTTCTGTTCTAGTTCTGTTCTAGTTCTAGTCTTGTTCTAGTTCTGTTCTAGTTCTGTTCTAGTTCTGTTCTAGTTCTGTTCAGTTCTGTTCTAGTTCTGTTCTAGTTCTGTTCTAGTTCTGTTCTAGTTCTGTTCTAGTTCTGTTCTAGTTCTGTTCTAATTCTGTTCTAGTTCTGTTCTAAATCTGTTCTAGTTCTGTTCTAATTCTGTTCTTGTTCTGATTTAGTTCAGTTCACTTCTAGTTCAATTATAGTTCAGTTCACAACTTTTGTCTCACACTGTATAAACTGTTATAACGATTTTATATCCATTTCGAAAAACTTTATAGTTTTGTTTATTAACCATTATGTTGTTTTACACATTTCAAACATCTGAAAAGTAAATCTTCAGCAGGCAAAATCTCTTTGTAATCTGTATCTTAATAGAGGTTTCAAGTTACTCAAATGAAGCTCTGAAGCGTGCCTCATCATCATCCAATTCTTCTATTTCAAAAACAATCATCACACAATGTCTCCCAAAGAGTGAGAAAATTAAAGTGTAACCGGTGATACTGTTCATCGTATTATTCGCCATAATTTCTAATTGGGAAATGTGACTACAACTACAAACCACAACACAATAGAAATTAACTGTCTTTAATTCTATAGTATCCAGTATATATTATTTTACTTTTACCGCCCAAATCCCTTGATATTTCACACCTAAATAAATTAAAATCAAAGACGTAACCAAAATGTGTTCCCATCATTGGCCAATTTTTGTGTAAGGGTTCCCAAAGTGCCAACTAGTAGGAGCAAAGTGGATGCTTATTTTGAATTGCAAAATCATTTGACAATATTTGGAATGATCAACATTTTTGCTAGGTTGTATTGACAACATTTCAAAGACAACAACGACAACGGCGACAACAATAATCATCGTCAGCAACTTCTAAAACAATTTATAATGTTTGTGAATTCATGGTAATCATTACCACAGCTGGTTTTCGTATACATGAGCTCAAAAAATATGT